ATATATATATATATATATATATATATATATATATATATATATATATACACATATATATATACACACACACTTTCTTGCTTATGTCTGTTCATTTCAAACTGATTGCCCTATTTGCAGGGTTTGCTTATCATTATTTCATTATAAACAATAAAACTACAGATTTGGGTTATTATGTCTATTGCCACTGTATTCACAAAGTGGCATAATGGGGGACTGTAATTTCTGTAAACAACAAAAAACTGCAGAAGAATCAACTCAGAAATACACTCATCTAAATTAGTTTAAATCACATGAATTCTACTGACATTTTAGCAAATACTTAGGATATGTTCAAATGTCAAAATATTACCTGTTTGTTGCTTTTTCTGTGGAAAATGAGGGTGAAAGAGCAAGGCCGTTGTGCTGCAAAATGTATTTTCAGAGGTCAAGAGACTAGAAAATAGCTATCATGCATAAAAACAAATCACCAGTATAGACTTGCTACAAACCCTCCCCACCTTCCTCCACACAGCCAATCACTTCTTGGTTTTTTTCTACCATGTTCTAAAGTTACTGATAAACCAGATGTAATCGATGGGTGTTGACAGATTCAGCATTTCTGAATATCCCAGTATGTCCTTTTTATGTCCTTTCCCCCCCTCAAGTATCTGCAATCACACCAAAGGTAAAATAGACTTAATGTTTTATTTTTCAAAATAAATGTCTATATATAATCACATAAAACCGTGATTATTTACAGAATACAATAGTTGAATTTTATATAAATGCAGTAAACCATATTGTACTGATAGCAGACAATTAAAACTGCACTGCTGACTCAACTATTTCAAGAAAAACCTGTTGAATTTTTTTTCCTGTCTTCAGGTAGACTAATAACATTTTTTTGATAAAAATATGACATGTGACTTTTTTCAGACTTCTAGTCTCTCAAGTTTTGTCCTAAACTACGGAGTCCCCAAGGGGACATTACGTGATTTTATTCTACTACTGTCGCTGACAGAGATATGGATAATGTTAATAATGTTTAATGATGTTTTTTTTTTCTTACACAAATGAGAAAATCTTTTCTTTTTTTAAACACGACGTAAATGTAACAACGGTGTGCGCTGCTGGATGGTTTTCGGATTTTACATGCGAGTACCTCATTTTCTTATAATTAGACGATCTTATTCTTTCCACGTGCTACTGTTCTGACCAATCAGGGGAAAGCGGGTAACCGTTGCCTTTTGAAATCAACAGTGGATGACAGCCGCTCGTTGCGCCGCGCAGTAAATAAACCAAGCTAATTTCACCGAAAACAGGAATATCACTGGATCAGCATGTCAGAAAAACTCATTTCCTACTCTGACAAGTACAACGATGAAGAGTTCGAGTACAGGTACTAATGCAGTCTACGTTTTAACTGGTCATGTTGTATTGTTTTGGTTTATTTCCTCTAACGGCAAAATTATTACTCGTTATTTTCTAGCTATAAAAATAACGTGGCTCATTATAACTTTAAGATAAGCAGGTAATTTTATTTACATCAGAGTAACAAAATAGTGGCGGTCAACCGAGTACTATGACAGTTAGGATGACGTTAACGTTTCTAGCGCTAACGGTTAGCATGCTAATGCTTTGAGTAGAGGTTTGACTTATTATGGTCAGTATAGTTGTACTTTACTGTTCATGTTTAATAACTAACCTCCCTACAGGCATGTCGTGCTTCCGAAGCAGCTGACTAAACTGGTGCCCTCCACCCACCTAATGACAGAAGAGGAGTGGAGAGGACTGGGGGTCCAACAGAGCCAGGGCTGGATTCACTACATGATCCACAAACCAGGTGAGTTCCCACCATCACCCAAAGCTTTCTGCCGTCAAACTCATATACATCCAAAGAAATGCCAGTTGCTTAAACCATGAATCCATGAATCTACAATCATATGAATAAATATGGAGATAAAGCAAAAAAAAAAAACATGTTTTTTTTTATATTTATTATATATAAAAGATTGACATGGATTTCGTTCAAGTTTACAATATAAAACACTTTGTGAACAAAGCTAAGTTTCAATATGTGCTATATTAAAGCATATTATTGCATACATTGTTTTTTCCATTGTATTTAGATTTGTAGCTTAGTTTTAACATAATGAACCTTTTTTTTTTTTTAAATAATGAAGATGCAAATCCTTTGATAAGGAACACAAACTCAATACAAAATCAAATACAGATACAAAATCACGCTTGTTTTCCTCCAGAAGTGTCATTCTCCACAATATCTTTTAAAAAGCTTTTACTCTACAACAGGGGTGTCAAATTCACTTACAAAAATAAAATCCTTTCTCAAAGTAAGGGCCAATTTCAGAATCTACATGAGCTCAAGTTAGATACCAACATCTTTTCTTTGTTGCAGATTCCTCAACAAAAGGTTGATTGGTCTCATTTGATGTTCTCCGTTGCATTTTTTGACATCATAATCCAAGATTATTGAAAAAATAAACGTGATAAAAGTATTTTACATTTCAAATATCATCTTGGGGGGCCATATAAGATGTCAACGAGGGCCACATTTGGCCCCTGGGCCTTGAGTTTGACACATATGCTCTATATAACATGAAAATATTTGTACAGTATTTAGATTACAAACAATCAACAGGAAAAAAAAAATCTTGTAAATTTTGGACTGAAAATGTTTGGAGTTTTGAAATTGGAAATCTCTGCATATGTTATCAGTATTAAAGGAAATAAATATTAGCTTGAGCTTTGGGAGGAAATAATACTAAAAACATGATTTTCACCATCTTTGAAATGTTTTGCTTCTGCTCAGCTTTAACATGCATTTTAAAATGACTACATTTTTTTTGGTCAAACCGTACATTGTTGCAAAGTGTCAAAATAAAACATAAGAGCTTGAATCACCAGCCGGTCTGGTGGTGAGATAAAAATGTTTATAATAATGCTGTAATAGCTTTTTGTCTTCTTCAGGTTTTGACAATGTAAAGTTGAACCACAGCACAGTATTACATTCATTATACTGACGCATGCATGTTTTTTTTTTACACAGAGCCACACATACTACTTTTCAGAAGGCCTCTCTCGAAGAAATGAATGGGAACCATCTTTAAAATATGTATTTCCTTTGCTTGGTTGTGTTGTCGTTGGACTATACATTTTTACATATGTTGTCATGTATTGTTGAAATAATGCTGTTCTTGTTTAGTGTGGTGCTCTTGCAAAATCTCAAATTTTTGTACAGAGTAATGAGAAAAAAACTTTTTTTTTTCGTTTTTTACTGTGAATATAAACCTGATATAAACTACAATATGAAGTTTACTTGTCGGTAAACAAATGTGTTTAAAATGCCTTTCCATGTTGTAAACTGTTCCATGTTGTCACAATTGATTCATCTGTGTAAAGAGTTGTCATATTTTCTGTTTGAACATTTGAACTTGTGTTAGTGTTCTGTTCAAATATTATTAACAGATGTTACGTATTTGTCAGTGAGCTATTGTTGATTCAAAATGTAGTGTTTTACTCAAAGAACAAAATAAAATAGTTTTTTATTATACGTCTCACTTTTGTTAAAAATAACAATTTTCTGGACTCTAACAAGGTTGAGTCCTCTGGTCGGATTTCTTTTTCTTTTGTTGAAATGTTGTTGTTGTTTTTTTTATCCAAAAGACTTCTTCAGTTTGAGGCGCTGCAACAAAGAACAGCACCTTCTCAGTGGATCAACCAGTTTGCTGGTGACATCCAGAATATAATATATATATATATATAATATCCAGAACTAGTTGTTCACATGTAAAAGGAGGACCATCAGCCTAATGATCGATCATCAGTGCCCTGATAGCCACTTGCTATTCACAGAGGGCTGAGTGATACTTGCAATAACAGCATTGTAAGAGAGGGACAGTTAAACACAGAGGCCCCCGCCACTGTTTAATGATAGACAAGTTCTCTTCACAAAGATGACTTCCTTTACTCCTCTCACACCAACCTTCCTCTATCAAGGATGTACACATACATGATTAAGCAGCCACTGGCCCAGCACAGAAGAGCAACATCATCACCAGCAGACTGGTTGCTCCACTATGAAGGTACTGTTTGTTGCAGCTCCTCAGACTGAAGAAGACTATTGGATAAAAGGTGAAGCATTTCAACAAAGAAGAATCCATCCAGAGGACCTGACTCAACCTGGTTATAGATTCATCTGCCTGGATTACTGCATCAGAAATGTTTGATGTTCAGTCAGAAGACACCACTAGTGGGGTGACAAACTCCGAGTGTCTGATGCCCATGGAGTAAGCTGGTGCTTGGGACTTGTGAACTTTGACTTTCTCAGGATTGTAGGTTCCTGGACCGGGGTTTTCTGTGCCGTTCTTCGGTAAATCGTGGCGACCTAACATGGAAAATGCAGGCTGTCGGGAAAGATAAACGTTTGGGTTTGTACTGTTGTAACGGCAGGGCCCAGGTGTCTTTGCTAAATCCACAGACGGTCCCCCTCTGCTGAAGCTACCTGACATGGTGTAACTGGCACTGGCTGGCTTGTTTGGGACATGAGGGCCCAGAAGTGGAGGCAGGTTGTACTTGTTGGGAGCAGGGACAGGGTCTGCGCTGCGGTACTGTGTACGAGAGCCCATGGTGTAAGCTGGGGGTCTGCGCTGCAGGTTGCATGGGGGTGCTCTCTCGGGGCTGTACGCACCAGGTCCAGGCGTGTGGAGGAGCTGTTCTGGTGACCAGAGAACAGTAAAGTATCATTGGTGCAGTGGAGTCAGTAAAGTGACACTTCTTAAAACTACAGTTGTTTTTATACTTATGAAGGTAGTTGTTAACATAGTAACATGTATTTTAAAATATAAATTGAAGAGGAAAACCCTACTATGTTCTTTCATCCTCCCCAGAATTGAGTATGCAGGGGCGCAATCTCTTCCAAAGTGAGTGATTTTTGGATCAACATGGTATCGAGGGCCTGGACTGGAGTCGGTAGAATACACTGCAATCAAGAAAAACATGTATGACCAACTGGGTGTGGTATCTTCTCTGACCATTTGTTGCAGTCAAATGGAAAAACCTGCAAAATCATGATGTGCTGTCGCCCCCTAGCGTTTCTGATTTTATATTACATCATGAAAGTGTTGGACAAAGGCACTTTGAAAAAATCAAATGATTCTGAAAGCCACTGACAAGGTTGCATGGTTGAGAAATGTCTGATAAACGTGAACAGGATAATTAATAATACAATGATTCAAATAAAACTAGTTCAAATCCCAGACATGGACAAGAGAAAGAAGCAGGCTCACTATTATTACTCATTCTGCCATGGAGAGAGTACGCAGGGCTGGTTTGTTTGGTAAAGTCGTGGCCAATGAATCCAAGGGTGGGAGGAAGTCCATAGCGTCCAGGTCCTGGGCCTGGAGACAAGTGGAAATGTATGAAAGGTGTACTCATTACTACTTTAATGGTACAGCCTACTTACACTTTATGATGCACATAAAAATGTGTCAAAAACAACCAAACGCACATTATCAGTCAACTCAGGGTTGCTTGAATGTAAATATACATTTTGTTACCAAGAAGAAATCAAGATTAAATGTTAACAGATATGCTACTGATGATCGTGTTTACAGTTTATGTCCTGATATAACTTTTCGAAAAGTTTTGCAATTCTCAGCCGATCAACATGGCACTCCTGTCTGGTAAAAGTCAGGGTGTGTTTCAGAATGAACATTGAACAAAAATAAGTTACCGTAATAATAAGAATTTTTTAAAAAGGTATAACATCAGCATGCAAGTCTTCAGTGGAATATGTACAAGTAGAGCAGGAGGGTGCATTTACAAACAAAACAAGTCCTGGCAGGTCTGCACACTGTGAAACTGTTGCTCCAGGCTGTCTTTTTAAAGACCAAAACACTTATAATGCTCATGCTCAAACACTGGGAAAATTAATAAAGCAGCTTCATGTAATATTTCATCAATATAGAGTGCTTACCTCTTTCTTTCCCTGCAATTGCTGGGTATTTTTTCTCCATTTGATAAATGGGATGGATACTTCAGGAATCCAACACTACTAGAGCTACTGAAGAGATATTCATTGTTCTGTTGTCAGTGCCAGGATTGTAGATAATAGTTGCCAATGTAAAACAATGAAGATACACCTTAAAATAAGCTTTAACCCATCACCAAAAGCCATGTCCTCATTTCAGCCTAATGTGAAGCAGCATTGCATGTAAATAGTCAAGTGAGCAACAGAGGAGCACAGTGCTCTTCCTTCAGGTGTCACTGCTTCCTCTGGATCCCAGCATCATCTGCAAACCCAAAACCCTGACACATCAATCCCAAGTTTCCTCTGAAAGAATCGGGAAACCTGACACGTGCTTCAAACTGTCAACATGTCAGACTCTTTCTCGGCTAGAGTTTAATCCACCTGCTTTTTGCCCCTTTGTCCAACCCCCCCCCCCCCCTGCTGTGGCTCAGGCAGGTGAATGGCCTGTCTGCCATAGGGATGAATGTGTAGGTGCACCCAGCGCAGAGGCAATGTCATCACTCTGATTCACTTACTTGTAACGCTAGCTCCCCCCTGCAAACCATGACACCAGGATCTCCCACCCTCCCCCCTCCTCTCCCCCTGTTCTCTTCACTTTTTCTGCTCATCACGGTGTGGACATGCAATATCGTTCCTCAGCCATGCATGCAGTTGCCACGGAAACTTGCCGTGAGTACCTTGTTGCGCCCAGGTCCCCTGCAATGCTGGCTTACTGTTTCACTTGGAGCAAAGGTCTTTCTATTTTTTTTTTTTTTTTTACCTTTGGAAACCGTGTTGATTAAGTATAGTTTGTTCCACTATTTAAACAGTTTTTGTAGACTGCTGAACATCTGCCCATCTTTTATTAAAGATTCAACAACTTAAAAATGTGCTTATTGTGTTGATCTGTTGCCATTTAACTTATAATGTGTTGCAAAATGCTCCTCCAGTTATTTTTACAGGTTTTTGTTGCCCCTTCCCCAACTTTTTAGAGAAGTGTTGCTGACATAAAACTACAACTCAATTCGATTCAGTTCAGTTTATTTATATAGCGTCAAGTCACAACAGAAGTCATCTCAGGACACTGAACAGAAACATTCATATATATATAAAAATTAAGTTAACAAAGTTATTTATCTGAGGAGCAGACTGCTTTGAGTTTAACTTCATCACAGACTCATTTTGAGCAAGCATGAAGGCAACAGTGGAAAGGAAAAACTCTCATGAAGAAGAAACCTTTAGCAGAACCAGGCTCAGGGCAAACGGACATCTGCTTCGATGGGCTGGGTTTGAGAGGAACAGATACACAATGGCAGGTCAAGAATCATGTTAAAATAGAAATAGTATCAAATGAAAACTATTCAATTTCAACAATTCATTTTAAGAAATGAGATCAATTTGTCCTCCAGTAGTCTAAGTCTATAGCAGCATAACAAGCCGACCCTAACTTTAGGATTTATCAAAAAGGAAAGTCTTAAGTCCAGTCTTAAAACTGGACAATGTATCAGCCTCACGGACAGAAACTGGAAGTTGGTTCTACAAGAGAGGAGCCTGATAACAAAGATCTTGCTCCCATTCTGCTTTTGGAAACTCTAAGAACCGCAAGTAAGCCTGCAGTCTGAGAGCAAAGTGCTCTGTTGGGAAAAAAAAATTAAGACCTCTAATATAAGATGGAGCTAGGTTGTTGAGGGCTTTGTAGGTTAGAAGTAAGATTTTGAATCTATTCTGAATTTGACAGGGAGCCAATTACCTTTGTTTCGTACAGTTTTTTTTTAGAGCCTTTGATGTTTACTATGTTTCATTGTGAATAAAATATGGGCTTATAAAAGTTGCAAATCATTTCATTCTGCTTGTATTTTCATTTTATACAACATCTCAACACTTTCTGAATTTGGGTTGTACAGTACACTCATCTTGAACTTCCAGTCCCATAGACTGCCCAGCGGTAGCTACAAGTTAGCCCGTTGTGGAGTTAACAGAGCGGTGCCTAAACATTAATTTTTAACGTGCTCCAACTGTCCTTTAACTGTTACTTTGGTGACCAAATCTGTTGCTGGCAGCAAGAATATCCAGGGTCGAAGATGCATATGAATAAACACGCTCGCACACTTTTCATGTCTAAGACAGAAGCACGTCAGGGGTCAGAGAGAAGTTTATCAAACGAGGACATTTCACTGCAACCCTTTTGTTTCTGGGAAATGCAAAAATACAGTACTGCATTTGCACCGAGTGCACTGTTTTCAACAGGTAACACACAAAACTGAGCTACATTGCAATTCTTTCAGAGAAAAAGCATTAAAGGTGGAATGACACGTAAAAAAAATATGCACGCAGAAGTTTTGTTTGCTTTAAAAGTTGGTGGATCAAAAAGAAAACGAAAACCTAGATAGTTTATTATCATTTTATTTCAATTTTAAAAATCACAATCTTTGATATAAATCAAGAGTTACATTTAAAACAAATTTGGTGCATTTAAGTCATTTTAAGACATTGCTGCTAATTTGATCAATTTAAGAATCAACATTAAACACACATAAAACAAAATAGCTTATGATCTGTACAAATAGTCAACGATGGGGGGGGGGGGGGGGGTGTTGAAAAATGATGTTGGTCAAGTAGTTTTAGAGACAGATGGAGAATGCAGGTGGACTAGTCTTAAACAGGAAACTTTCCAGTAATTATTCCAATGCCAGCACATTATTTAATCAACGATTGCAGGTATAGAGTTAAAGCTTCCCTGTGACAGAAAAAAAAAGTCTTGGATCGCTCACAAGGGGATGAAATCAGCTGTTTCAATGGGTAATGACTTAAAAATGTATAAAAAATAAAATAATATGACTTCTAGCTACAAATAAATACCACAGATAGAAAATATAACAACACATTTGCTTAACATCAGGTGTAATTACAAACAAAACCTTGATTATTTCTTTGAGGGAAGATAAATGAATACCAAGAATGCTATGGTGCTTATTGAAGTCTACGAGAAGAAAAGTCTGGAGGATTAATAATCTTAATAATAATACTCATTCTCATCCAGTCACACACAAAAACAGATGTACACAATAAAGACATCCACTCTGAATCCATTCATCTAAATAAAGCATTTACTTTCAGCCTCCAGACCCGTCCGACAGTCTGACTTATTTGCATTTAAAAGCATATTCACAAATATGGTACAATTTGGAGGTCAGTATGGCTTCACTTGGACCAGTTCTGTGGACGACAAGAAAACAGACACATTTTAGTTGTAAAACCATCACCAAGTTTCACATCCGTTACAGTCCAAAAGGCCTAGGCAAAGTTAAAGATCCAGCAGTTCCACAATAACAATTTCAATTCAGTTTATTTTAAAGTGCCAAGTCACAACAGAGGTCGTCTCAGGGCACTGAACAGAAACATTCATATACGGTATACATATATAAAGTAAGTTAATAACGTTATTAATCTGAGGAGGTTTTGAGTTTAACTTCATGGTAGGTTCTCATCTTGAGCAAGCATGAAGGCAACAGTGGAAAGGAAAATCTCCCTCATGAGGAAGAAACCTCCAGCAGAACCAGGCTCAGGACAAGCGGCCATCTGCTTCGACCGGCTGGGTTTGAGAGGAACAGGAAAGAGGAACAGATACACAATGGCAGGTCGAGAATCACATGTTTAGAAATAGTATCAAATGAAAACTATTAAGGTTTAAGGAAATGAGGTCAATTCGTCCTCCAGTAGTCTAAGCCTATGGCAGCATAACAAGCCAACCCTAACTATAGGATTTATCCAAAAGGAAAGTCTTAAGCCCAGTCTTAAAATTGGACAATGTGTCAGCCCTATGGACAGAAACTGGAAGTTGGTTCCACAAGAGAGGAGCCTGGTAACTGAAAGATCTTCCTCCCATTCTGCTTTTGGAAACTCTAGGAACCACAAGTAAGCCTGCAGTCTGAGAGCAAAGTGCTCTATTAGGAAAATATGGAACATTAAGATCTGTAATATAAGATGGAGCTAGGTTGTTGAGAGCTTTGTACGTTAGAAGTAAGATTTTGAATCTATTCTGAATTTGACAGGGAGCCAATGGAGGGTAGCTAAAACTGGAGAGATATGGTCTCTCCTACTAACTCCCATTAACACAAATAATAATAAATAATAAATGAACACAAATGATCAAGCTACTACCATCGCTCAGGGGTGGTTTTTGTGTCCATCGCAGGTAGATAGGGATCTACTGGCATGTGCAGTTTATGCTCTACACCTGCCCCGACTTCTGCCACATCAAAAATGTCCACTCCGTCTCCGTCAGTAAGGAAAAGCTCAGAATCCGAGTCATATTCGTAGGAGTAGTAGGACACCTCAGCCATGGAGCCCTGTTCTTCACCACCTAGAAAGAATAAATTAATCAAATAAATTCTAACAGAAAAAAAGGCCAACCGCGAAGTTTGAATTCAAATTCACTTGAATACGTTTATCAAACTCCACTGATAAACATGTTGACGTGCCAACCAACCAAGGCATGAAGAAAAATAATTACAAGCAAGTAAACTAAAAGTTAACATTTTGGATTTAAAGCTTACAAAGTTGGTATTTTAAAGTAAAAAAAACAAACAAAAAAAAACATTGGAAAACACAGTAAACAAGAAAACTTTTCTTCCCTGCACATTTGAACTTCTTCAGCAGCAGTACTACAGTTTGCTCAGCAGGGGTCAAACTCTACCTAAATTCTCACTGTACTGTATATATATGTATTATCACTTTTATTAATAATTCACTTTATAATGACTAACAAGTGATCATTTTAATTTTTTTGTGTTCATAACTTCCATTATATATAATTAATAATAATAATAAAACTATTAACAATAGTTTGTTCATTCAAAATTAGAAATTTAAGAAAGAAACGATTCAGCATAATTTGACTTAATGTCAAAACGTTAACCCAAATTATGTTTGTGAGTCTCTGTGTGCATTCTGCTGTGTGCTGATCACTGCTAAGTTCACCAAGACAACAAGTCTGCACAAGGAGGCTAATTCCAAAGCTTCGGCTTCCTTCATGGCCTCAGTGAAGTTGTCAGTTCCTTGGCAGAACCCAGCTTCACCTCTTACACTCCTGCTGCACCTAACAGGGCATGCTTTCATCATTATATTGGTTTACAACGGCAGTGTTTGAAAAGTAGATATTAACTAATCCCCCTGGGGTTTTCCTATAGCACCTGATTGTGTAAATGATTTTCTACAGACCGAATACTATCAGAACGATCTGTAATTGTTTCTTTACTCATATGCTCTCTAATCAGGACACATTTACTTGTGCTATCAGGCCACAAGCATACCACCGTGTGTGAGTGATGGAATAGTATTCCTGTGACGAGTGTGAAGTATTTAGCTTATGCACCAAGGACACCTTTGACTCAGAGAACTGCTTTGTGAGCAGCAGCTACTGAGGAACAAGTCAGAGCAGGTCACGCCACATCAAACACACACACCTGCCTCCAACTCAGACACACAGGCAGAGTTCAAAAAGTAGAACAGGCAACGTGCACACACACAGCATGCATGTTGGGATTTCTTCACACACAGGTAAACATCCCATTAGAAATCCTCCAGCTGCCTGGTTAAAGACAGCAGTGATCCAGCTCGCTGTGCCAGACGTCTCATTGCATTTATCACACTGATGGTGAACTTGTGATGGCAGCTTTCCTCTCAGTATAACTCAAATATATTTCCCCTTTTTGTCTCAACTTACCACCACTTAAATAGCATCAAAAACACATAGAAGCAAATGCAGAATTTGTTTAATTTAGGCCGTATGTGCATGCTCTGAAGAAATAACTGAGCATCTGATGAATAGGGAAGGATGGGGAGAATGGAGTTACCTGTGTGGACAGGCACTGAGGGTTGCTCTGTTTCCTGGCTCACGACTGGCTGCACGTCTTTGGTGATCTCCACTGGAAACACGAGACACACGTCAGATAACTCACATTTATTGGACTTGCACAAAATTAAAAGTCTAGTATTCCATTAATGAATGAAGGAAATATAGTTATTTTGGCCAAACCTTAAAAATAACATTATGTACAATCTCACAAGACTCTGAAAGATCTCATATGATCATTTAGCTTTCAGAGTATGAGATGGGTATGATAGTAAGCTACCACACCAAAATTTATCTCAATAACTATAAAATGATAAATGGAGTTTATTTAGTGCCTTTCTATCTAATAAAGATACTCAAAAAAAATAAAATGTTGTACTATATATATATATATATAGTACAACATTTTGGATTTTGATAGCTATCAGATTTTTATGGATGCTTGCCTGATTTTTAGAGTTTTAAATGGACTTGCTCCTCCTCCTTTAATGTATTTTGTAAGTAAAAAAATAAGTACAGTAAACACAAGAGCACTGACAAGAGGAGATTGTGATGTACAGCGGCGCAGGACTAAATTTGGCCAAATGGTGATGTCCATCAGAGGCACGCATTTCACCTCTGCCTCTGCTGCTTTCAGCCACCTGCAAGTGTTCTTGGCCACGCCCACTTCTCCGTTCTGAATGGAGAACAGCTAATCAGCTGCAGGGGGAAACTTATCCTGCAGTGTGGGCTGCACAAAGGTGCAGCAGGTTCTAAATAATTTTAAATAATTTATTTGAAATTAAATTCCATGCTGATCGTGCGCCTCATCCATCCAATCTGCCAATTGTGTGTCATGCCCAATCCTATTTTGAAAAACTGCAATACAGTGAGTCCGCAAAAAACGAACTGCGAAGTAGTGAGGGATTACTGTATGTAGAAATGGTGATGTAAATTTGTTTCATGCAAGCATACACAAACAAACAAGGTCATGGAGTAACGAACAAAAAAACATGAGCCTCTTTGATGACTGGTTGCATGAAACAATTGGCACAAATGGAGAATTTTTTGCATCCAAAGTTTTGCCTATGCCTTTTCACAATTTGCTCCACAACATGAAGGCTCCTTTTGTTGTTGGGCTGTGCGTCGGAAAGTAATGTGACAACAATTTCTGAGGCTGGACAAAAGCACTCTGTCATTTGGAAAGGGAGAGAGAGCCCTGCAATACGACGAAAAGTGAGAGGATTGGTTATACGCGTGTATGTGTGCAGGGGGCTGTGCAATGTATAGTCCCCACCCTCAGTGAATTCATCAAGTAATCAGTTCATCTCTGGAAAGCTGCTTTTTTCTCAGCTCAGATCATGGCACCCTCAAGTTGAGCTTAGATGCTGTCTCAGGTGCACACAACCACCCAAACATCATGAATTATTACGCACTGAGTTCAGCTGTATCCAACAGAACATACACCCATGCAGCACCAGCCAAAAGACAAGACACGACTCAGACTGAGCAGATATCTCCAAACATTTTTCAGTCACGGTCGGGACATTAACCAAAAAGGGTCTAGCTTCATCTTTCTGTATAATTTCTTTTCAAACAAAATGTGAAGCTCAAAAATGTTATCTGCAACCAAACAGGATATTAGAGAGCTCTTACTTTGTGGACACTGGGAGGAGGGAACCTGCTTTACACGTGTCCCATTTCGGCAGGCAAACACCTCCATCTGACACTGGTTCTGGTAGAGCTGCCCATCAGATCCACAAACTGGCTCCCCATCGTAGCCACAGTCTCTATAGCACGTGCAACGCTCAAACCGTTCCTCCTCTAAGCAGCCGAACACATTGTTGCACTGGTTTGCTTGCACAAAACCTGCAGACACAAATACAGTATACGTAGGAGATCAATTAGGGTATCTGCAAATGTTACGGAAGTACAATCCCCCCAAAAATTAGAATATTGTTCACAAGAAAGGGTTAAATCATGTCATCGGGACAGTTTATTTTTGGGTGAAACATTTTGTCTTTCATCCGAAAGACTTCATCAGTCTGAGGCCTGTCAACCCAGCTCTGTCTTATAAATAGCACCTCCTTCTTGTGTTTCAAGTCAGCAGTCTGTTGAATTCCCAGAAACTAGCTTTACACATGCAAAATGGGACCAACCGTCCTAAACAATTGATCATTATGTATAACAATCAAATGTTTTAGGCCAGATGGCCGACTTGCTACTCACAGAAACAGCCCGAGGAATACCTGGCTGAAGTGGATCAGACAAAGGTTTGAAAGCTCAATCACCCAGGTAGATATATCACAAAAAAGGTTATATCGTCATCTGAACTGTTTCTTTTAGGGATTTTTCTTTCTGTGAATTCCACAGAAGGCTGGCTTGAAACACACCAAGGAGGTGCTACTTATAAGACAGATCTTGGTGGCAGGCCTCAGACTGATGAAGTCTTTCGGATGAAAGACGAAACGTTTCTCCCTAAAAGAAACTGTCCAGATGATATGATTTAACCCTTTCTTGTGATTTATCTACCTGGATGATTGAGCTTTCAAACTTTTTTTTAGAATCTTCTTGTTTTTCCAAAATGTGGAACAATTTCTTAGCTAATTTCTTACACGTTTGATATGTTTACTCAGTTTAAACGTGAACAAAATGGGTTTATGAGATTTGTATAGGATTGCTTTCTGCTTTTAATTTCATTTTACATGTTGTACTTTGTAGTTTTTGTGGAATTGGGGCTGAAGTATGGGTGTTCCTACCTGTCCATTGGTTTGATGAACTCTCCACCTCGTTGCATGTCGGTCCATCACACAGCTCCCGTGCAAGTGGACTGCTCTCACTAACATTGTAGAACCTGGTGGCCTCAAAAGCTGCATCGCAAGCAGAGATCCACAGCAGCACATTTATACACAAAAGACTATGATGACGTTCAGAACTTTAAGCATGTAAACTTTTCTCTTAAACATCCTAAGTATTCAGGATTGTTTCCTGGTCTTTAACCTTAAAGACTCCTCACCTGGTTCATAGTAGTCATAGATCTTAACTGGAACAGGCGCAGTCTTGCCCACGATGTATTCTCTGACAGCTTGAAAGGCAACACATGTCATACACTCACTGGGAATCTAAGAAAGTGTAACAACCACAGACACATAAGTAAAATACAAACAAACATATTTGTAATTGTATACTCTCAAAAGTCATCCTAACCACAAACCAATCCCCTCATTTAACAAATGTCCAGGAACCTCACCTCATCAAAGTAGAACAACACTTTTCTGCCGTTCAGCTCATATCGCTTCAATCCCACTCTCTGATCCAAGAGAAACTGTTTAAAAAGAAAGTGAGGATGACAAACAAACAGGTCATTTAATGTTTCAACAACAGCAGAAATGAAGAATTTCAGACTTTTACCAGTAATACTCTTAGAATAGAATGAGTTTGGTGTATTTAAGTGTGAATTTTTCTTTAAAATATGTTTAGGATTCTTCACATTATTTTGTTGCAATGACTCAAAAAGTTATTTGGAAACACAAAAGTTATAGTTCTATAATATGTATGTGTGTGTATATATATACATATATATATATATGTGTATATACAATATGAATTGAGCTGTTGCAAATCAAAGTGCATAGATGTCTTTATAATGGAGGCTGATTATCAGCACCATGTCGGATCGGACAGCTCCACCTGACATCAATAATGATCAATGAAGGAACATATTGTGTGTAAAGAAAACCTGTGGAATATTTAAACTTGAGAAACATTTCTAAACTCTCCACATCATATAATGCACAATTCTGGACATTATTGTGCCATAGCTGATGTATCGTCTGTTTCGTCTTTTAACAATCGTGGCTAAAGTGTACCTACATCTTTTTAATTACCATTATAGCAATCTTTTATAATCCAAATGATCTGCATCTAAATGTGCAACAAGTGAAAAGTAAACTTGCCAAAGTGAGCAAATAAATCTACAAATGAATAACGAGCAAGCTGTTTGCTGTGAATCTGTATGTGCATGCAGAGCCCCAAGTTTATTTCCCCCCATAGGGATCATTTTCATTCTGTCAAAGGTGGCAGCCTGGGGACAGTGGGGGTATTTAGTAGGTACTCACTTGGAGGTGGCGCCACATCCACACACACACACACAGACACACACACACAGACACACACACACACACAGTGTGCAGACACCACAACTAATCACTGTCCTTAAAGCATTGTTGGTCTACACAGCAATAAACATTGTCCTGAACTTTCACTGCTCATGTTTCCAATAGGTTTGGCTCATTATATCGAGCCGCAGGACGGCTGCCGTGGTCACTGGACAAATCAGCCATGTCTGCAGCATTTATGAAAAGCAGCTAGACCTGATGGCTGAAGCCAAACTCGCCACTGTAAACTTGAGGAATGCAAGGCAGGCAGCAGTAAAACGTAAGGGAGTCCAGCAGGGGTTCAACCTGAGCTTGTTACCCACTACAACTCAGGTCAGCCTCAAGTGACCAACTCACAGCATGTGTGAGTGAGAGTTTGACATTTCTCCATGTAATTACAGAGGTGGCTATTGTAACAGCAGCCTGAAGACCTAAGGGCCCTATTACCAGCTCATAATGAAGAACAAACTTTTGCTGGGGGTGCCAATCTGGATTCAGCCCATTAAAACTACCTTCCTCTTACTCCCTCATTATAAGCCACTAATGTCTCATGCATTTTTGATATACTCCTTCCTTTACTAGATTATTTTTGAGAATGGCGTGGGGATAGGTCTGATTTACTGCTTCCAGCTGTGGCGTATATTTACATTGGCTCCCCTGCAGTGTAAAATCAATTTCTACTCTATGTGTGTGTTTATGTGGCTAAGCTGTTTGTGTTTGTTGTTTATGCGAGTGTGTTACTTGAAATGGAGGCTTTGTGTGCCAGTGTGAGTACATACCCGTTCTAGGCTTTCCACATCTGCTCGGAAACCAGAAATCATGGGAACCTCTATGACAGCCATGTTGGACGAGCCTGAATGAAGCCATCTAGACAAAGAATCAATGTGATGAATGGAAGAACTTGTCTTGTTTGAGGCAGCTCTGTGCAACGAGCGCATGGCCGTCTACCTGGCGCACACTTCTAAGGAAATGTGGAAGTTCATCTTGTCCTGGTGTGCTGCCGGGTCGTCATCGTCGACCGGCGCCCGTCGTTTCCGGTTCATCTCTGAGCGGTTGCCTGCTCGGCTTTTGGAGCGGGATGAGGACAGCCGAGGGGAGTATGAGGAGGAAGAAGAGGGATGAGGGTGTCGCTCCTGAAGAGGCTCTTTCAGCTCAACCCTGAGCTGAAAAGCTGGCTTCGCTACCGGGTCAGGTACGTTATAGGACATGTCGATCTGCAGACCCAAAGAAGAAAGAGGCATAAAAATAAGATTTTAATCTGCATAAAACCTTCTAAATAAATAAATAAATCAAGGTTCTGGTATTCCTTGAAAGAATGCTTATTACCAGCTGCTTTAAAACCAGAGCTGTGGTCAAACCTTAAAAAGTACATAATGTGCATGTGGTACCAAAAGATGTCATGCTCAGAAGAAGTGTTGTAAAATACTCCCAGCTACTACCACATATAATTTTAGCTCAATATCTGTAAAACTGACTGAATTATAGACATTTTTGTGTTTTTAGGGTGAGATAGCAGTGGCAGCCATGTTGAATTGTGTTGACAAAAGTTAATCTTGACTCATAAAGGGTGTAACATTGGATGTGCATCCAAATATTATTTAGTAAAGCTTTTTTTTTTAAATTATTAAACCTAATCATCTCGAGGCATTTTTACTTAAAGTCTGTGGACAAACACATTCACAGGCGGGACTTTGGATCACGCAGCTCTTGTTTTTCATTAGAGCCCAGGTGTTGCTGGCCTGAAGGGCTGTCACAGAGGTGTGGGCTGAGGGAAAGTTTGTGTGGGAAAAAAACCTGTGACGCTTTCAGACTCTGCAAAACTTAGCATAACAGAGTCATTAGGCTCATTTTGCTTTTTCAAATGTTTTGTCCTAAAAATGTGCAAATGTTATTTTTAAAAAATGACAAGAGGTAAAGACTGAATATCAGATACAGACTATAAAATGTTTTGTTTGCTTATGAAATGTCTGTATTTTTCTGTTTGTTTTTAGCAATCAAACAACTTCTGCATGCTTTGTGCTATTTTAGGCAGGAAACGGGTGCTATGACTTTTGGCTGTGATAACTTTAATAGAATTTGAAATATCTACATTTATTGACATATACTGTATTATCCCCATAGAAATGTGAAAATGTCTATTTAATTCAAAACACGCATTGTTCTCTTTGAAATCTGCTTCAGCACACTTGTTCAACTTTTGTCTTCTAATGACCATTTGAGTTTTTTGCCACTATTCTACTTTTGCTTGCATCCATCCATCCATCCATCCATCCATCTCTGTGCGAGAGATGGGGGACACCCTGGACAGACCTCCAGTCCATCACAGGGACACATAGAGACAAATGAGACAAACAACCATTCACTCTCACTCACACCTAGGGACAATAGAGTTACCAATCAGCCTAACATGCATGTTTTTGGTCTGTGGGAGAAAACCGGAGTCCTTCAGAATATCCATGTAGGCCCAGACTTCCCTCTCCCCAGCCACTTGGTCCAGCTCCTCTGGGGGAATCCCGAGGCGTTCCCAGGCCAGCCGAGAAACATAGTCCCTCCAGCGTGTCCTGGGTCTTCCTCTGGGCCTCCTCCCGGTGGGACGTGCCCTGAACACCTCACCAGGGAGACGTCCAGGAGGCATCCTAAACAGATGCCCAAGCCACCTCAACTGGCTCCTCTCGATGTGGAGACGCAGTGGCTCTACTCTGAGTCCCTCCTGGATGATCGAGCTTCTCACCCTATCTCTAAGGGAGAGCCCAGACACCCTGCGGAAAAAACTCATTTCGGCCGCTTGTATCCGAGATCTCGATCTTTCGGTCACAACCCAAAGCTCATGACCATAGATGAGGGTAGGAACGTAGATTTATCAGTAAATTGAGAGCTTCGCCGTTTGACTCAGCTCTCTCTTCACCACGACAGACCTGTACAGCACCTGCTTCACTGTAGACGCTGCACCTATCCGCCTATCGATCTCAAGTTCCATTTTTCCCTCATTCATGAGCAAGACCCCAAGATACTTGAACTCCTCCACTTGGGGTAGGACCTCCTCCCTGACCCGGAGAGGGCAGTCTACCCTTTTCCGGCTCAAGACCATGGCCTCGGATTTGGAGGAACTGATCCTCATCCCAGCCGCGTCACACTCGGCTGCAAATCGTTCCAGCGAAAGCTGTAGATCACGATCTGATAAAGCCAATAGGACCACATCATCTGCAAAAAGCAGAGATGCAATCCTAAGGCCACCAAAACAGATCCCCTCAACACCTTGGCTGCACCTAGAAATTCTGTCCATAAAAGTTATGAACAGAATCGGTGACAAAGGGCAACCTTGGCCGAGTCCAACTCTCACCGGGAACAAGCCCGACTTACTGCCGGCAATGCAGACCAGGCTCTGACACCGGTCATACAGGGACCTAACAACTCGTATAAAATGGCCCAGTACCCCATACTCACAGAGTACCCCCCACAGAGTTCCCCGAGGGACGTGGTCGAACGCCTTCTCCATGTCCACAAAGCACATGTAGACCGGTTGGGCAAATTCCCACGCACCCTCCAGGACCCTGCTGAGAGTGTAGAGCTGGTCCAGTGTTCCACGGCCAGGATGAAAACCGCACTGCTCCTCCTGAATCCGAGGTTCAACTATCCGACATACCCTCCTCTCCAGAACCCCCGAATAGACATTACCAGGGAGGCTTAAGAGCGTGATTCCCCTGTAGTTGGAACACACTCTACGGTCCCCCTTTTTGAATAGGGGGACCACCACCCCGGTCTGCCAATCCAGGGGAACTTCCCCCAATGTCTGCGCAATATTGCAGAGTCGCATAAGCCAACACAACCCTACAACATCCAGAGCCTTAAGGAACTCCGGGTGAATCTCATCCACCCCTGGGGCCCTGCCGCCAAGGAGCTTTTTAACCACCTCGGTGACCTCAGCACCAGAGATTGGAGGGCCCAACCCAGAGTCCCAAGACTCCACTTCCTCAGTGGAAGACGTGCCAGTGGGATTGACAAAGTCTTCAAAGTATTCTACCCACCGACCCACAACATCCCGAGTTGAGGTCAGCAGCACACCACTCCCACTATAAACAGTGTTGGTGGCGTACCGCTTTCCCCCCGTGAGATGCCGGATGGTGGACCAGAATCGCCTCGAAGTCGTGCGGAAGTCATTCTCCATGGTCGCTTCGAACTCCTCCCATGCCAGAGTTTTTGCCTCAGCAACCACCCGAGCCGCATGTCGCTTGGACTGCCGGTACTCATCAGCTGCTTCCGGGGTCCCACAGGCCAAAAAGGCCCAATAGGACTCCTTCTTCAGCCTGACAGCATCCCTCACTGACTGTGTCCACCACTGGGTTCAAGGGTTGCCGCAGCGACAGGCAGACAACCTTGTGGCCACAGCTCCGGTAAGCCGCCTCGACAATAGAGGCACGGAACATGGCCCACTCAGACTCAATGTCCCCCACCTCCCCCGGAACATGTTCGAAATTGTCCCAGAGGTGGGAGTTAAAACTCCGTCTCACAGGAGACTCTGCCAGACATTCCCAGAAAACCCTCACAATACGTTTGGGTCTTCCAGGTCTGACCGGCATCCTCCCCCACCATCGGAGCCAACTCACCACCAGGTAGTGATCAGTGGACAGCTCCGCCCCTCTCTTCACCCGAGTGTCCAAGACATGTGGCCGCAGATCAGATGAGACGATGACAAAGTCGATCATCGAACTGCGGCCTAGGGTGTCCTGGTGCAAAGAGCACATATGGACACCCTTATACTTGAACATGGTGTTTGTTATTGACAATCCATGACTAGCACAGAAGTCCAACACCAGAACACCACTCAGGTACAGATCGGGGGGGCGTTCCTCCCAACCACACCCCTCCAGGTCTCACTGTCATTGCCCACGTGAGCATTGAAGTCCCCCAGCAGAACAAAGGAGTCCCCAAGAGGTGCACTTTCCAGTACCCCATCCAAGGATTCCAAAAACGGTGGATAATCTGAACTGCCGTTTGGTGCATAAGCACAAACGACAGTCAGAATCCATCCCCCCACATGTAGGCAGAGGGAGGCCACCCTCTCATTCACCGGGGTGAACCCCAACACACAAGCACCAATTTGGGGGGCAATAAGTATGCCCACTCCTGCTCAGCGCCTCTCACCAGAGGCAACTCCAGAGTGGAAGAGTGTCCAGCCCCTCTCAAGGAAACTGGTTCCAGAGCCAGAGCCATGCGTAGAGGTGAGTCTGACTATTTCTAGCCGGAACCTCTCAGCCTCACACACTAGCTCAGGCTCCTTCCCCACCAGTGAGGTGACATTCCTCGTCCCAATAGCCAGCTTCTGTAGCCGAGGATCAGACCGCCAGGGTCCCCACCCTCGGCTACCACCCATCCCACATGGCACCTGACCCCTTTGGCCCCTCCCACAGGTGGTGAGCCCATGGGAAGGGGGGACCCACGTCTCCTCTTTGGGCTGTGCCCAGCCGAGCTCCATGGGTAAAAGCCCGGCCACCAGGCGCTTGCCCGTGTGCCCCAACTCCAGGCCTGGCTCCAGAGTGGGGCCCCGGTGATCCACGTCCAGGCGAGGGAACATTAAGTCCATTTGTTTTTCTCATCATTGGGGTCTTTGGGCTGCACTTTGTCTGGTCCCTCACAATCAGCCTATGCACAGAAAGTTCCCCAGCTGGGATTCAACCCTGCAATCTTCTCGCTGACAGCAAGCTACCACCATTTTAGCTATCTTTTTCTCCTGCTGGTTCAATCCCCTGGACCAACAACATAAAAAATGTGGGTGGGAAAGGTGATACACCCACAACTGCCTCCACCCTCATTTGCCCCACTTTGGGCCCTCGAGCAAGGCCTTTAACCGCGCACCATCTGCGTTACTGCACTCCCTGACTGAGCTACAGGTAATACAGATCATTTTGAGCTCTTTCAAAGTTTCTAGTAGAAATGTTGTGTCACTCACAGACCAGTTTTGCTTCCCCGACATGCTAATATTATTAGCATTAGCCTGTCGGAAATAACAAAGTCACACATGCGCAGTTAGGTCAGTTTTTCACCATCAGAAAAAAACGAACAGATCGAGTGTTTACATGCGCACCGTTTGGGTTATGAATCGGTATAAGCCACCCATTTCGTTCTGATCACAAATTAGTTCGGATCACGCTGAATAAACAAAAAACAACCCAAACAGGATGTTTATATGACGTGCTTTTATTCCGAACGGCCGTTTGAGCGGACTACTTATGTCCATGTAAACATAGCTACAGTGGGTTGTGGTAGCTCTGTGGTCTGTGGTTGTGTCAGGAAGGGCATCTTAGAGGAAGGGAGCAGTCAAAAGATGAAGAAGATGAAGAAAAAAAAGCTATTAACTAGTGTTTTGTTACTTTGAGCTTTTAGTCAACCTTTTCTGACTTTCAGCTTCTAGTTAGTCTTTCAATAGTTTTAATTAGTCTTGCATTATTTTTGATTTAAGAAAAAATGTAGGTGTTATTTTTAGCTTTTAGGTCTTGTTTTGTTACATTTAGCTAGCCTTTGCTACTTTTGGCTTATAACTTGCAACACGATTGTTTTATCATTTAGCTAGTATTTTCCGTAATTTCACGTTGACAAACCAATTTCAACTTCTTTGGCAAATTTCAGGAAAGTCATTCAGCACTCAGCGTCACTGCATTTTGTGAATATTGAGAGTGTGTTTAATTTTTTTTATACAAAAAATGCAATGTCTAATTTTTTTTTTTTATAACACAGCAGTTTTGACACAACCCTATTGGCAGATTTGTGTGGATTGTGTATCATACCTGCATGAGGCAGCAGCCTTCTCCTTTAGCGCTGACGAAAAGACCTGTCGGGACACTTGGTATCTAATAAAGAAGCAAGGCAGAAAGAGACACAGAGACACAGAGGGGTATGGAGAGGTGAGAGAGTCATTTATCAAGTGAATGAATACTTTAGGCTGCTGCTCTGCTACAAGTGGCTCCCTGGCTACAAACCAGCAACACTAAATTGCCCCCATTTAAGTTGACACCACTAATCATAGCAGAAAAAAATAAGCCACGCACAAAAACATCCTCATTTTCACCTGAATCTCTCCAGCTGGCTGATGGAGCCATTAAAATCCACACAACGGTGTTGACCTGACCCAAGCAGAACTCTGGCATCGGTAGGTTGTTTCATGTGTGGACAAACAGAACATTAAAGCAACAGTTCCTAAATCAAATGGTCAACAAGGTGCTTTTGAGAAATCCAGCTTAGGTTTGGTTTGGCAGTAAGTAAAAAGTTCTGGCTGCTCAACAAGCAAATGCAGAGATTACCATTTAATGCCAGAGTGCTGCTCATTAGTCACCGTTTAAACTGGAAAAAGCTCCACTGCACATAGGAAGAGTGGTTTAACTGAGTAAAATGTCCCATCTGAAATGCTGGTAATAAGTGAAACTAATAAATAAATTATGTTAAGTGCTGTCAACTTAAAAGCTTCAGCAAATCAAATTGGTTATCCCTAATCATCTGCAGGCCAGGACGACTGGCAAGCCTCGCAATCGATAAATAAACAATCAAACAGAGGATGATTTGTTCTAATCCACACTTACCTTGGCACTCTGAAGAAGTTTCTTGTTGTCCCTGTTTAGTTCAAAAGTCTCCTGGAAGTCGAGGTTGGTGGAGGCCAGAGAGATGGTGAGGTTTACCCCCCCTACATACGACAGGATGGCATACTCTGAAAGTGCATGCAGAGCCACGCACGTGTCCTGACAAGAGAGTTTAAAGCATGTCAGCTAGAATTTCAGCCCACTTGAAAAGATGTTGCATATTCATAGCATTATTTAAATGCTGTATTTTATTACAAGATGAAATGTAAAAACTTTCCCAGTTGAAAAAAATACAGAAGAATACCTGTGTGTAGGCGTGTCACGATAACAAATTTTGCTGGGCAATTAATTGTCTTAGAAATTATTGTGATAAACAATAATATTGTTTAAAATTGAACAATAATTAGTAATTATTGTTAAATTTAAGAAGAAATGTTGGTTCATTTGTTTTGAGTGTAGTACTTTTTTTTGATCACGTATGGCAGTATAAGACTGTTTGAACCGAAGGATGGATAGTGAGGGAGCGAGCAGCGTGTCTCTTTAAGAGAAATGGGAGGGAGGCCTCTTGACATGACATGGGCTGTCTCTCTCCTTATTATTATTTTGGTTCTCAAAATGGCAGACGCTCTGTGTAGTTTGAGCTCTTTAGCATAGCATTTGTCACACAAAGCTTTTAATAAATAAAAAAAAAATCAGTAAACAAGTTCTCAGCTTTTTTTTGCCGAGAAAAACAACTTTATACACAAAGGCACAGGTTTCAACCGTGAATTTTGGAGCTTCAACAAGACAGAGGTTTTCTCCCGAGGTCGGCCTGTTAGCTTAGTTCGTAGCTTAGCTTCTCAGCTTACCTGCTTTTAATGATTCAAAAACGTGATTTTGGACAGTTAAAACAGATTTTAAAGAGAAAGGGAGGGGTCAGTGAAGAGCACCGGAGTTGAGCCTTTTATCATCCAGTGTCTTCAGTAGAAAGAGAGAGACATGAAGAAACGATAAAGCCGATAAATGAAAATGAGGTTGATAATTTTCATTTATCATGCGATTAATTGATTTATTGTTTATCATGACAGGCCTACCTGTGTGGAAGAGAAACCACCTAAAGCGTTCCTTTGCTGGGAGAGCCATTTGACCACAGGAAGCGCAGAAGCAACATCTCCCAGCACAGCGTAGGTCAGGAGACTGTAAGCTGTCATCTCCACCTCTGCTGACACCACTGAGAGCAAAGAACAACTTGTTTTAAAGAATATACTTCATATTCTAAGTTTTATTAAACAAAAATCAGTAATAGTTTAATACAGTGGATGTAAAGTTGTATCATTTCAGCTCCTCAGACTCCTAATAAACAGATACCTGACTGTGAGAGGCCGTCGCTGAAGCCCAAGAACGTGTCCTCATCGGTCACCGTGCTGCCAGTCAGACTCCAGTGGGTGAGTCCATCTGCAGACACAAACGTGGTGAGATGAAGACAAGCAGCAGGAGAAAAAAGTAATGCTTTTACTTTTGTCCTGCTTGGTTGTTCAAATAGCTTTTTACAAATAAGCAGATTTTAGATTTTAGTTTATCAAACTAGCAGAAAGATTTAGACAAATAGAAGTGAAGGAAAATGCCAAAGGAAACCAACAACAACAAAAAACAGGAGGAGAAAAACAAATGGTGGGCTCCACTTTTGCTAAATGACAACTGCAGCTCCTTTTACAACTCTTAGTGATTGTATTTGTTGTTAAACGAAGCTAGGCTCAGATCAGTAGGCAGTCTGGGTTTTATGTTGAGTTTTTGTAAAACCTCGCCTTTTCAACTGATTCACTTCACACCTGATGTGTGAAGACGCTAGATCCTGGACAAGTGTTGATTTTGAAGTTATGAGAGATGTTCCTAATGTTTTGGTTACAATTTTATGGTCTCATCCAGTTATAATGTCAAACTTGGTATTGCCTAATTCTGTCACTAGAAAGTTTGATCTAATAAGTTAAACACCTTGTTTTACACCTTTTACGGATATTTCTTAATTGCAGTCCTTCATCTAGTGCTATTTAAGTGACATGGGAGGTTTTAGTACCTTGAGTGATGGCCATGTGGTTGAGGCGGCGCAAAGCCAATGGGGCGAAAGGGCTGCGAAGCAGAGACAGGGCGTATGCAGAAAGAGCCATGGTGTAGGGATCATTGGCAGAGTATGTGTTGCTTTCCAAGAAATCCTTGGCTTTGGCCACTGCCACCTTCTCTTCCTGTAAGAAATGGGACAGCCATAAATAAATAAATGAACGTGGTAATTTCAGCTTCAAAAACTCCCACTGAGAAAGAAATACTCAAGAGAGGAATTTCAGAATTTCAATGCCTGGACACATTTACTTGTTTTCCGTGGCCAATTTATTTGCAGTTCAATAAACTGTTCCAGGTTGGCAGCACGGTGGCGCAACTGGTAGAGCTGCTGCCTCTCAGCGAGCAGGTCCCTGGTTCAAA